TGTGTGTACATCACTATGATCGTTCTGGACAATATAATTTGAGAAGTGTGCGTGTGTGTGTGTGTGTGTGTGTGGAGTGGCAGAGGTGAGCAGGAAAAATAAAGGCAAAAGCTCCAAGATGGAGCCTCAATTCCATTTCACCGGAGGCATTGTAATTATCAAGTATTTTGTTTCAATTCGCTAAGTTTAGAATGGCTCAGAACTGATTAAGAATTAAGGTTAGATTCAGCTTCTCATGCAACCTATAGCTTGACTTACTATTCACTTTGGACAACCACGTTCTGATTTTCTGATTTGCTCATGAGACTTTTTTTTTTTAAAAAGTTCCTTCCTCTCCAAAACCAAAGTTAAAATCTCAAAACGCTTTCTCTTTTCAATGTATTTAATGTGTTTAATTTTTATTTTTATGATTAAACATTGCATTAAGTTCAACTGGGCACTTGAAGAAGCTTGGAAAGAGAAACGTGAGAAAAGAAAAGCTCAAGACAGGACTGACTTTCTCTAAAGGGCACTTGCATTTGCTTGACTGTGTTGGATTTGGTGTCTTCTGTGGTTGCATGGTAAAGTTTTCTTTTTTCTTTTTTTTTAAACTGACATATAATTGACATGTTTTCATTAAAGAAACCGAAGAAGACTGGTAGTCCACTTGAGTCCAGCTAGAGTACTTCCACTCAGCATTTCATGGAGTAAGTTTGGTTTTATGACCTCCCCTATATCGTATAGGCTTCATAACGTTTTTGCTTTTGAGGGTGCTCTCAGTTTTCAAGAGGCTTTTGGTAAACTCAGTACAGAAAGAGTAGGGAAGAATACAGAGGGTCAGAGGAAACATTTGTGATTCCAAGCATAGCCTAGGTTATAGGACTGTGTCATGCCCTAATTATATATCATTACCTTACACCGCAGTGGGGTGTGATAGGGTCAGAATTATCCTCTGCTGTATTATCAGGGTCTTTTCTTAAATATTCAGTTACATGCTTCCAATCTTGGGATCATTGTTTTCTCTTCCACGGCGTATTTTGGGGAAAGTTTCTGTAAGGCTGCGTATTATTGATTGAAGTCACATAAATGTAATTATGTCCGAAGTGCAAAGTATTCTACTTGAGCTGCAAGAGACTTGAGGTTGAATAAGGTATAGCTTACGTTCTCCTTGAAAGTGACCATCTTGGGACTAAATCTTGGCCTACTCTCTTGACGAGATCCCCGGTGAGATCAGATCCTTACCCCTTCTACTCACCTTTTCTCTTCATCCCAGTCATTTTTGTTTTTTCTGTAAGAGGAAGGAAGCTGCCTCCTCGGAGTATCGGTATTACCTACCTAATCAAAGCAAATAGAAACAGCTTTTGTACCGTTGACATTCTTATACAATGTAGTAAGTTCTAACGTGGTTTTTGTTCATGATTATCTTTTCCTCTTTTCTGGAGATAAATATTCAGAACCCTAGGTTTATTTTCTAGGAAAAGTCTCTCTCTGGAGAACTCAGAATTGGTTCCTTTCTGGAGTCCCCCTTCTCCTTACAGACAGCTGCCTACTGCTTCCTCTGCTGCGGGTCCTCCCGTTTCCAGCACTCTCTGGCCTTGCTCCCATTTTAGGATCCTCTTCCCTGTACGTCCGATAGTCCGTTGGCATGACTTCTTTCTGTGTCTCTTCCGTCTTCCCTCTCCTTTTACCTCTTTGGCTTTCTGATCCACGTAAACTTGTAAGTTGCTGTTAACCCCAGGTGTTTGTCTCTCCTCCTTGGGCAGTGTTCTCTGACAGCTCAGGGTTTGGACTGACTTGAGTCCAGGTCTCTGTTAACATCAAGTGCTGCCTTTTGTCCATTCTGCGGAGGCTGAACCTAACCTCTTGAGGCACAGGATCGGGACTCTCTAAAGAATCTGTCTTTTCTCCCTCCTTCTCTTGCTTTGCCTCTTCCCACCCCAGTAGTACTGGAGTCAGTTAGAACAAGCCCACCATCATGAGAGTGGACCAGTAAACTTTCCACAGCACGTTCTTCCCATCCCCAGTTCAAGTATTTTGCATATGGCATTTAGGAGGATTAGTAAACAAAAATGAAACAGATTAAGAAATGAACATAATCAATTCTCCTGAACTGTGGTTGCATAATGGAAATCGACTACCACGAATGAACCCGTGTACTGAAGTTATGAACAGCAGAGCTAATGCACTGCCATGAGTTCATCTTTAGTATTGCATTACACCTGAATCAATTGATAAAGTAGCTTTTTTTTTTTTTAAGCAAGGGATGGCACTTAATTGAATAAAAGCCAATGTAATTATATTAGCAGAGGCCAACAGTACTGCTGACAGCGGAAAAGGGACACTGTTGAACAGAGTGCCAGAGCTGGTCTACACATTTCTGCACATTGTTTGGTTGACAGATATTGAGGGCTGGTACATCATCTAATTAGATTACAGATTTCCATTGCTGTAAGTGAGAAATGAAGAGAAACATCTCTTCCTGGTAACATAGCAGTGGAGATGTGCAATTTCACAGGTCATCTTCGGAACGATGTGTCCGTCTGGGGGATCAGTGTGTCCTTTTGCCGATGTTAATTTATTCTTCCTTATTCAGTGTGTCTTGATGTGACTGCTGTGTGTCTGGCTGCTGTTTTCTCAGCAGTGAATCTAGGACGTGGTAACTGCAGATGTGTGAGAAGCAACGGAGTTCTAGATTGAAGTCATCGCAAGATGTGTGCTTGTGAAATTAAGACAGGGAGGGGAGGGAGGGTGTTAAAAATAATACACAGAGGGGTAGGACTTGGTGAGCTACTTGTGGTTGGCAGATTGTTTTATCAGTAGATTGTCTGACAGTATGTACTGCCACTCTGCTTCCACATTCCTGTAATAACTCCGGTGGTGTCATACCTACATGTCAGGGGAAAGACTTCACAGTAGGCATTTCCTACACTCTGCTTAGCAACCTGCACGGGGAGTCATCTGCCATCTGACACCAAGGAGACGGGGAGCGACTGTGTCAGAGCAGGGACTGTGGGGACCACTTCTGTTTATCATTCACATATCTGCACACTGCATGCATCTGTGCAGAACCCATTTATGGATGATGATGATGCCGTGAATTTGGTTTATCTTAATTTGATTTATGACTTTTTGGATGATGCGGCTGATCTGAAAAATCATCAAGACAGCATATGAGATGATCGCTTATGACAGAAAATGATTTTATGATCAGAACATTTTAAATCCCTATGTTATTGTTTAAGTTTTTTTTTAAACCAGATGTCTAGAATGTGAATTTGTTTTCTCTCTCTCTCTCCTTCTCTCTCTTTTTCTCTGTCTCTCATTCTTGCTTTCTTTTGTGATCGATTTAGCAAAAGATTAGAAAGCTGATCTTATTATCACAAGGTAAGCTCAGCCTTCCTAAGTGCAGTGTGGAGAGGGCTGCCGCCCCTCTGCCCCTTCAAACCCGGAGTGCTGTATATTGTCTTGTGTGGAAAGGTGGAGAAATGCTTCCCACCTTTCTTGTCTCTGAGGCACATACCTCTCAACCATCTCTAAGAGAGATTAGCCATGCTTCTCACCAAATGGAGTGACTCATCTCGGTCTTCCATACTTTTTAATTATAATCAGGTGGTCTGTTGAACTTGATGCTGGCCCTTCTAGGTCATTTCTATTATCAATTTCGGTTATCACGATTACTTCTCTAAGATGTGGAGCTTCTGCCATTATTGAGAAGCTTTTATGTATCTGTATATTTATTTACTGGTTTACTTTTTGGAAGGGTAGCCTTCAATTTAGGTACGTGTCAAACGTGAGCCTTTGCAGGTGGAGAGAGGTATATGCCCAAGGGCACTTTAAAAATAAATGGGGGATATAAATACAAAGGCAATGTTTTCAGACAGATAATAACCTATCAGGCTTTGGTAAATCATGACATCCCTATGGATGTTCTGGGACAAATCCTATCTTTTTTTTTTTTTTTTTTTTTTTTTTTTT